TCTGTGCAGTCCTGCTGTCCTCCACCACGCCCACCAGCCTCGACCCCTCACGGAGCACTCCACCTGAGGTGCCCCACCTCAGATTCCCAAATCCTCCCCTAAGTTCCACAGCTCAGACCACCAGGCTTTACGGTAAACGTCTAAGTCGTGGCATGGGAAGCTTCTCGGAGTCCCCTGTTTCCGTCTGGCCGCTTTGTCCTGGGCAGGTCGCGTTCTTAGAGAAGGGGCAAAGGAAGGCTTGCTTTGACTGCTAGAGAAAGGTGGTGGCCGCGACACAACACCCACAGGTGCACCCAGCCTGCCACCTGCAGCTCCGGCCACTCACGGTCCTCACGCAAAGCGAGGACAAGGGCCTCTCTGCTCCTGAGAGCAACTGTGACAGGGTGACATGTGCCCGCCCGGCACCCCCACCACTCCAGCATCACGTTTACAGCCTGATAGCCAGAGATACCATCTGCCAGATGACTGCCATCCCTGGTCAGTGAGCTCACTGCCAGTCTACATCCTGTTACGTTTGTATTTCGCACAAGAGAGAGGAAGGTTACCAGCTGACAGGGCTCAGTCCAGGTGCACACGAATGCCTGGGTGTTCACCTGCCATGGGCACCCACCCGCCGGGGGATCAATTGGTGTGTGGGCAGTCTGGAAGCCCAGTGTGGAGGGCACACCCACCTGGTAAGTCAAGAAGTCTCAAGTGGGTTGTGAGTGAGATGGGAGGGCCAGACTCCTCCCCTCTCCCTTTGACACGGAAGCAGGGCTCCGGTTGATCTCCAGGCCGCCAGCACTGCGCTCTCTCTTCCAGGGAGTCTCTCCTGGTTCTGGAGGGGCTCATGTCTGTGTGTGATTATTTGGCCATCAGGACCCAGAATTCTGATTGGTTCCAACGTTCAGTGGATTAGCTGCATTTCCAGGGGAAACTACTTCCCTCAAGCACCACCCAGCGCTGACCGCCCAGGCACGTGGAAGCTGGGCACTGACTAGGACGCCACACAGCAGCATCCATGTGTTTGAGTCGCGTTGCTCAAGAAACATTGACAG